GATAGATAGATAGATAGATAGATAGATAGATAGATAGATAGATAGATAGATAGATAGATAGATAGATAGATATTTTAAAGAGAAAAACACCTTTGTTTTCCAAGGAATTGTTTAACAAAAGCTGAAGGAGTAGAAGAAAATTGAGATAGCACTGGGGAAACAGTGGTTCGGATAGTATCATCTCACCTCTTCCTTAACTCCTTTGGTAAAACTTTCACATACTAAATCTTCAACCAACAATATGATATGGTGAAGTCCATCTTATCATTTCAAGACTCTGTCAGACCTCTTCACTGTTTGCAGATTGTTGAAAATTATTCATAATAGTGACATTTTAAAGTAGGGATATGGGAAATAGTTACATGCATATAATAGTTATCTGGAATGTTCCATTTTTCTCCTGGAAGTTTTCATTTTACATTCAGAACACCATGACCTCCTTTGTGTTCCAGATAATACCTTTCCAAGAATGTATAGGCCATTCCTGGTACTCTCAGATTAGCCTGTTCCAGAGGGAAAACCAGAACTTTCTGGGAGAAAACCACAACATTCTGGAGCCAGACTTTCCATTTTGTATATTTGTTTCAAAAAATGGATTCATTATGTGAGTTTTGCCCCAGAATAATGAAGGGGAAGGTCTCTCACTACCATCACCTCCCTGTCAAAAATCCTTAACTCTCTGCAATTCAGTTGTGGGGCGTTTTGGACTGTAATCCCACGTTTGCATTAATACATTCACATAGTATATGTATTTCTATACATTTCTTCCTAATGTGTTTCTGTCAAATGGCAATTTTTCTTTAATATGGCCATGGTTTTTGACTGATATTAATAGTGAAAATAAGAATATCCAACCCCCCATGACTCAGTAATTTTAAATAAGAGCCATATTGGTAACAATCAGTAGTTTCTCTGCAGCTTTAAGTACAGGGAGTCCCCTGTTTAAGAACGAGTTCTATTCCCAAAGTCTGTCCTTAAGTCGAATTTGTATGTAAGCCGAAAGGATATTATTGTATAATACTGTATAAGTAGTATTGTGTCATGAACTTGAACCATTGTGTATTTAACACAAATCATTGTGTATTTAACTCAAATTTTGCTACAATAGTCTCTGCTCTTAACTATGCATCGTCCTTCAACTGGGCATTCTTAACCAGGGGACTTCCTGTATGCTGATAATACTTTTCCATTTTTTAAGAATATAGACGTTGTGCTATTTTAATGTATTCTTCTGCATTTGTTTTAGTGCTTCTTATACATAAATAATTATCATAATAAAAATAATTGCACGCAAGACCATTTGAAAGTCAAAAGTAACTCTTGATCCAGAAGCTGATGAACCATTTTTAAATTTGGTCATAAAACTTAATGAGTTTTTTTTCCCCCCTAATGAATGCTATATCCTTTCCATTGCAACTTGTGAAGCACTGTTTCTTAACTCTTGGATTCAGTGTAGGCTTCAATTTTGCGGGGAGGCAGGGGGGTTGTCCTATCTAATTGTCCCAGTTAAATCAAACAGGCAAATACCAGATGACTGGCTGAAGGTACTGGAGGAAAGGTGAAGGCAAGCCATGAGTCACTGGTTCTCCATGATCCAACTTCCGGGCAAGGACACCTTGCTGACAAGGCAATTTGCTGTCCTCCAAACTACAATTCTCAACCACGTTCCCTCCTTTGGTATCTCCCATCCTTCCAAAGCAAATCAGAATGTATTTGGTGATGGGATCAAATTAGCAATCCAGTTGATGATTATACATCACCTGTGTACTTTGAAGTATAATAGAGCAGAGCAAAATAAATATGAACTCGGATTGCCCATCTTTGGGCTCATTTCCTCCTGGGGGAGAAGATCCTATTGCCTGGAAACAGGCAGCCCCAGAATTACAGCAATGGAACAGTCCAGATGTATACTGGAATAGACTTTGCTCAGTTACGAAGAAGCCAGGGATAAAGGCATTACTTTAGAAAGTGAAATATTAAATACAACCAAAGTAGCCATCTAGGCCCTTTGAGTGTGCTTTCTGACAATGCTTCATTTCCTTTTTTTTTTTTTTGAGATTTTTTTTTATCCCACATTTATTATTTTTATAAATAACTCAAGGCGGCAAACATACCTAATACTCCTTCCTCCTCCTAATTTCCCCACAACAACAAACCTGTGAGGTGGGCTGGGCTGAGAGAGTGACTGGTCCAAAGTCACCCAACCGGTTTTCATTTACCCAGTCTGCAGGTTTTTTTGGCAAGGCTTTTCAGAAGTGGTTTGCCATGGCCTCCTCCTTCCTAGGGCTGAGAGAGAAGGACTGGCCCAAGGTCACCCAGCTGGCTTTGTGCCTAAGGCAGGACTAGAACTCAGGGTCTCCTCGTTTCTAGCCTGATGCCTTAATCCCTACATCAAACTGGCTCTCTCTTCCAGTCCTACTCCTCAGCTAATACCTTCCTCTATTAGGCTTAAGCCACCTAACTAAGTCCGAACTAAGCCTAATGAGGCTTCAAAACTAGAAGTTAGCTCATTTATAAAAAAAGGATGTATTTCTTGGGAAGTGAAGCTGTTGGTGCTCTGTGTGGTTGGGTTTGCACAACTGCTAAACCTGGTTTGTTTTGGTGATTTTTTGGGGAGTGGTGCTTTGAGACAGTTTTTGACTCCTGGCAACTGCCTGGACTAGTCCCTGCAGTTTTCTTGGCAAGATTTTGGAAGAGGGTTGCCATTGCCTCCTTCCTCTGGCTGAGAGAGAATGACTGGCCTTAGGTCACCCAGCC